AGCCAAATCGGCGAGGTCCATGTGAACTTTTTAAAGCCACGAGGGGCCCAGGAACCTGTCAGGCGTGAATGCACATTGCTTCTTCCCAGGTGCAGTCATTCCCCAACAACAGACCTCCTGGGTGTGTGAGGGAGAAAGGAAAGAGGGCTTTACCGAGATTCTGCTCCAACAACTTGGAGACAAATGGGAAGCCCTAAATTCTTGGTGGGAAAAACAAAACAAAGCTCAGGCCCCGCCCCATGCGAGGGAGCCGGCAGCTCAGGGCACCGGGCACCAGGGGGCCACAGCCAGGCTCCGGGCCCGGAACACGCCTATCCCGCCCCGTGAGCACAGCGTGTACCTGGACGTGGCGCGACACGGGCTCTGACTCAGAGGCCTGAGGGGAGACGTTCACGTCTTACAGGCTGGGGCCCTGCTTGGACCGGGGAGGTCTGGGCACCGTGCACGGCGCTCCGACGGGGACAGGTGCCAGGCCCTCACCTGAGGCCATTTCCCCACTGATGTTTAGAGAGAGAGGGAGGGCGGGGGAGAGGCAGAGAGAGAAGCATGGATGAGAGAGAGAGACACGTAGGTTGGTTGCCTCCCCACATGGGCCCTGACCAGACCGGGGCCCGGGATCGAGCGCACAACTGAGATGCATGCCCTGGACCAGAATGGAACCCGGGACCCTTCTGTGTGCAGGCCGGCACTCTACCCACTGAGCCACACCGGCTTGGGCGCTCGTGAGCCCTTGACCGTGGCCAGTGCCACTGAGGAACTCCAAGTGCTCCACGAAGCACGGCTCCGGCCTAGGAGTGCGGGTGCAGGAGGAGATCGGGGCTGCTCCCAGCTCCTGCCCCCGCAGCCCTCCGCGGAGTGGGCGGCTGGGAAAACCCACCGGAGGACCAGCTGGCCACTGGATCGGGAGGGACCCATATTGACCGATGGCAGGAGGGCCCTCGTGACTAAAGCATGTGGCCACTCCCCTGACTTCCCATGCCAACCGCACGCCGCCCCCACCCAGGCCTCCTAACCCAGCCCCGGGCGCCGGCCGCTCCGCCCTGGGCGGCCAGGCCCGGCGGGTGGCACTGTCCCTGGCCCCGGGCTGCAGGCTCCGTCACGGAGAACGAAGAACTCGCTCCGGGCGTGCCGACGCCCGCCCTCGCTCCGCAGGGCTCAGAGTCCCCGGGCACCCAGCAGGAGGAGGCGGATACGCTTCCTGTTACTCACAAAAGGGGGGGAGTTAGTGGGTGGGATGGGGGGGCACTAGGAGATCTTTTCTTCCTCGAGTGACTCAAACATCTCAGAACACGTAAGTCCAGACTTCAGAACACAGACAGCACCCGGGGCCCGCCTGCCCACAGAACCTCACTTCCACTCACAAACACACCGGCAGAGGGGGCCTCCGGCCGGCAGGCAGCGTCTGTCCAGCTGGAAGAGCCGTCTCAGACAAGTCCCAAAGGGCTGGGATTCAGAATCGCACTCTTTTCTCTCTTTTTTTAACATATGTATTTTTTATCTCAGAGAGGAAGGGAGAGGGAGAGAGACAGAAACGGCAGTGATGAGAGAGAATCACAGATCGGCTACCCCCTGTACGGGTGCCCCCCCCCCGACCCCCGCGGGGATCAAGTCTGAAACCTGGGCATGGGCCCGACGGGGAATCGAACCCATGACCTTCTGGTTCATAGGTCGACACTCAACCCCTGAGCCACGCCAGCTGACCCAGAATCGCATTCTTGCCGGAAAAGCCCAGAGGCCCGGTTCCCGCCCTGATCGCGGGGGAGGCCGCTGGCTCCCGGGGGTCCTGGCAGCCCGGCCAAGCACCCCGGAGGCTCACCCCACCCCTGCAGCTAGAACCCTGCGCGGGGACACCACTGAGGTCTCCACGGTAACCGAGGACAACAGAGCGGAGCAAGATGGCCCCGAGGGAGGAGATTCCATCTTACATCTCCCGAGTCAGCGTCCGATTTACATTTAAAACTATGTACGCCACCGAGCCACACAGGCAGGCGGGAGGCAGGATGCTCTGAAGGAGTTTCCCATACACACGGGATTCCTGAGGAGGACACAACTTCTCCCTGTTTCCAGACAATTCCCAAGTGCCCAGAGACTCAAAGAAGCGGAGACAGAAGTAACCCCCAGCCCCCAGGAAAGCCACCGTCACAGATGTACGCCATCACGGCGCATGCTCTTCCCGTTATTTCCAAAAACACAGGGCAGCCCCGGACCTCATCTGAAATGGTGCCAAAGTAACGATTTCGCCCGGAGAAAGGGATCAGGTAAAAAAATGTAAAACAGTCTCGCGGTGACCTGTTGCCGAGAGAGCTGCTTAAAAAAATAAACACGGGTTTAATAAAAACAAACCAAACGAAAGCACGGGTTTCCGAGTGGCTTTTCATCCCCTTCCTCATTGAGCCATTCACGTCTCTCCCCCCTCTCCTCCTCCCTCCCTCCCTCCCTCATGCAAATCTCCTGGGCCCGGTCCTCCCGGGCTCTGTGGCTTAACCACAACCTGTTAGCGGTCGGACTCTCACCGGGTGTCTGCCAGGGCCGTGCTGGGTGTGTGCTCGTTAGCGCTCCCCTCGGCCCCCCGCGGCCCGGCCTGAACGCGGAGGGAACGCGGAGCTCCCGGAGCCCACACACCTGGCGAGGGGGGGGCTCTGAACTCGAACCCAGGCCTGGCGGACAAAGGAGTCATTCAGGGAGCGCGGCCGCACACAGGAACAGGAAGCAGCATCTGCTTCTGAAACCAGCGTGGAGCCCGTTCCGATGCCAGCTCAGCAGGCCTCGCTGCGCCCGCCTTCCTCGCGGGGAAAGCAGGGGTGAGGCGCCCGGGCCACGGATGTGGAAGCCGTAGCATCGGGGGGACCCGCACCCCCCAGAGCCTCGCTGCAGGTGTGCGTGAAGAGATAAAAGGCACATTCCCGCAGGACCGGGGAGGTGCCGGGGCCAGAGGTCAATCCGTTCAAAGCGCGTTTCCCAATCCAGGACTGGGTGTGGCCACAGGCCTGAGGGGCGGCCCGGCGGCAGGTAACATCCGGTCCCATACCCGCTCCCCTGCCTCTCTCCAGGGGCCAACGCAGCTGCGTGTCACACACCAAAGGATGTGGGCACCCCCGGCCAATAAGGCCATCAACAGGCCCGGGTTTTGGTGAACACCCCGGAAAGGGCATCATTTAAACGGACCCCGTGCAGACCTCGCTCTCAGAAACGCAAGCTCCCACGGCCGCCGTCCCGGGTGGCACCCCGTCCCAGGGTGCAGCCTGGATCGGCTCCTGGCCGAATTCCACCTCCTCACCCCGAGACCTTCACGGATTCCCGGGCTCCGAGGGCACCGCGGAGGGAGCTGGCCTCTAGCACAGTGACCGAGCCCCGTCTCCCCGTCTGCTCCATCCCCCAGCGCCAGGGCAGGCTCCCAGCGGCGTGGAAGGACACGCTGGTGCCGGACGGGGACCGCAGAGGCTGTGCCCGCTTCCCGGCCGCGCCTATCCGCCCGGCCTCCCACGTCTGGCACCGGGAAGAACATGTGGCTGACACACCGCCGCGGGAAAGAAACAGAACTCGCAGCCCGGCCAGGCCGCTCCGAAAGCTCTGGGCACCTGCGCCTTCCCTTAGCAGCCGCTTCCTCTCCGGCTGCCGTCATTCCGCGGACATCATGAATGGTATTTTCAAAGCACCATGAGCATGTTTCTCTGGCCCAGCACGTCCGGGGGGGGGCGGGGGGGGCTCTTCCGGGCCCTCCCATCTGCCTCCCATCGGCCTGTCTGCGGCTGGGCTGACACAAGCAGAACTCAGTGCCGTGGGGTCCCAGAGCTCCCTGAGTGAGGATTCCGTGAGGTTTGCAAGCAGGTCCCCTCTGCGAGAAGGGGGAGGGGCCGGGGGAGGGGCTGGGAGGGCAGCCCTGGCTGCACTCAGAACAGTCAGGGCGCTGAAGCTGCGACTTCTGCCTTAGCCCGTTAGTGACTGTGCCTCCAAAGGGAGAGAAAAAGGTTTCCATTCAGAGAAACATTCTGGATTTCCACCCCCCAGCCCCCAGCAATGCCTAACAGCAAACGCTTTGTTCCGGGGCCACAGAAAGGAATGCCATCGCCTCTCTTACAGCTCTGGGGTGACCCCCATCCCTCCCTCCGCCCAGACAGCTCCTAAACCTTAGAACCCAAAGCCCCTACGAGCCCCCACGTTAGGGCTGCCGCCTGACATCCCGGCCCAGAGAACCATAACCATCTCCTGCGGTCCACACGGGCTCACGTGCGGCTGGAGGGCCGGCGCCCCACGGGGAGCCTGACCCCGGGGCCTGGGACCCGCACCGGCCTGGGAAGGACGGAAGGACGCGGGGCTGCCCCCCCCCCCGCAACCCCCCGGACGTCAGGGCCCTGAGGGGGCAGAAGCGGCCCCAAACCGGCCGCCATCGGCCCTGCCCTCCCCTCCCGCCCGCGGCCGGTCAGGGCGCCGCTCCCGCCCGGCGTCCCCGCGGGAGGGGGCGGGCCGGGGGCCGGGGCCGGGCGCAGTGGCGGCGCCGGGCGGCAGGGTAGGCGCAGGGAACGGGTGCGGGGGAATGGGTGCCGGGGGGAACGGGTGCGAGGGGAACGGGTGCCGGGCGGCGATCCCAGGCCTCGGGCCAGAGCGCGGCCTCCCTGGGCGCCCCCGGGCCCCGGGCCCTCCCGGCGGGTGCGCACCCCGTTCCCGGAGGGGCCCCGGACGGAGGCGCACACCTGCCCGCGGGGCCGCTGCCGGCGGGGCCCCAGCCGGTCCCGGAGGCGGGTGCGCGGGGCGGGCGGGTGCGCGGGGCGGCGGGCCGGGGAGCCGGGCCCGGGCCGGCACCGCCCCGGCTCCGGGCAGAGTGGGGCGGGGCCGGGGGCCGGGGGCCCGCGGGGGCCGGGGGCCGGGCGGGCCCTTCAAACAGGCCCCGGTGGCCGCGGCCGCCTCCGCGGACAAAGGCTCGGGCTCGGGGCGGGGAGCCGGGCGGCCGGACCGAGGAGGAAACTTTCCCGGGAGCGGGCGCGGGCCCGGCGGCGGCTCACCTCCTCGATGGCGGCCACGGTGTGGCGGCACTGCGCCGTGCGCGTGGTGAAGCTGGAGGCCGTGGGCGCCTTGTAGTCCTCATGGGTCTCCGCCACGAACTCCGCCACCGAGATCCGGTCCGGCATCGCCGCGCCGCCCGGGCCGCTCCCCGCCGCCGCCGCCGCCGCCGGGGCCGCCGCCGCCCGGGCCGCCGCCCGGGGCGCGGACAAAGGGAGCGCGGGGCCTGCGGGGCCGGGGCCGGGGCCGGGGGCCGGGGGCCGCGGGGCGGGAGCCGCTGCCGCGGGCCCGGCGGCGGGAGCAGGGGCGGCGCACCCGCAGCTCGGCCCGGCCGTCCGCCCGCCGCGCCTCCGAGCGCCCTCCGCCGCCGCCGCCGCCTCCGCCTCCGCCGCCGCCGCCTCCGCCGAGACCACGGCCGCGGGGACGCGCAGAGCCGGGAAGCGCCGCCACCGCCGCGGGCGAACCGGAGCGTCCGGCGGAGGGCGGGGGCGGGGCCGGCCGGGGGCGGGAGCGGGGCCGGCCGGAGGGGGCGGGGCCGGGCGGGAGCCAATCCGCGCGCTCGCTGCCGCCGCCAGGATCCCGGGAGCCGGGCCCGCGGGAAGCCCGCGCCCCGCACCGTCCCCGCGTCCGGGCCCCGCGCCGCGGGCTGGGCTCCAGGACGCGCCCCGCGGGGCCGGGGCCGGGAGGGGCGGTGGCGGGCCTGGCGGCGGGCTCCCCGGCGCCGCCCCTCCGGCTCCGCGGGGCGCGCAGGAGACGCTGGGCCCCCCAGGCCAGGCCCGGCCTCCTGGTGCACCGCACCGCCCCGCACCCCCGCCGCTCCCCGCCCCGCCCCACCGCCCCGCACCCCGCCCCACCCCGCCCCACCCCACCGCCCCGCACCCCCGCCGCTCCCCACCCCGCCCCCAACCCACCGCCCCGCCCCGCCCCGCCCCAACCCACCGCCCCGCACGCCCCGCCGCTCCCCACCCCGCCCCAACCCACCGCCCCGCCCCGCCCCGCCCCAACCCACCGCCCCGCACGCCCCGCCGCTCCCCACCCCGCCCCAACCCACCGCCCCGCACCCCCCACCCCACCCCGCCCCGCCGCTCCCCACCCCGCCCCAACCCACCGCCCCGCCCCAACCCACCGCCCGCACGCCCCGCCCCGCCCCGCCCCGCACCCCCGCCCCGCCCCACACCCCCCGCCGCTCCCCACCCCGCCCCAACCCACCGCCCCGCACCCCCCGCCGCTCCCCACCCCGCCCCATCCCACCGCCCCCGCCCCAACCCACCGCCCCGCACCCCCCGCCCCGCCCCGCCCCACCGCCCCGCACCCCGCCCCACCGCACCGCCCCCCCCCCGCACCCCACCCCGCCCCAACCCACCGCCCCGCACCCCTCACCCCGCCCCGCCGCACCGCCCCGCACCCCCCACCCCACCCTGCCCCACCGCCCCGCACCCCACCCCGCCCCACCCCCCCACCCCGCACCCCCCGCCCCGCCCTGCCCCACCGCCCCGCACCCCCCGCCGCTCCCCATCCCGCCCCAACCCACCGCCCCGCACCCCCCAACCCGCCCCGCCCACTGCACCGCCCCCCCCCCGCACCCCACCGCCCCAACCCACCGCCCCGCACCCCCCACCCCGCCCCACCGCACCGCCCCGCACCCCCCACCCCGCCCCACCGCACCGCACCGCACCCCCCACCCCACCCCGCCCCACCGCACCGCACCCCACCCCACCGCCCTGCCCCACCCACCGCACCCCACCGCACCGCACCCCCTGCCCCGCCCCGCCTGGCCTGGAGCCCCTCGGACCCCTCGGCCCTCCACCCCTGCCCCGCCCGCCCCGGAGGGAGAAGGCGTGCGGCGCTTGCCCCCTGCCCCGGGCGCACTTGACCTGACCCGCGCCCCCTGCCCGCTGCCTTCTGGCCGGGCTCTGTGACAGCGACAACCAGCCACCATGGCCCACCGGTGTGGCTCAGTGGACAGAGCGTCGGCCTGCGGACTGAGGGGTCCCGGGTTCGATTCCGGTCAAGGGCATGTACCTTGGTTGCGGGCACATCCCCAGTAGGAGGTGTGCAGGAGGCTGCTGATCAATGATTCTCTCTCATCGACGGTTCTAACTCTCTATCCCTCTCCCTTCCTCTCTACAAAAAAATTAATAAAATATATTTTAAAAAAGAAGAAAGTTAAAAAAGAAGAAGAAGAAGCAGCAGCAGCAGCAGCAGTGACCGTAGACTCAGTGTATTCTCCGGGTCCTCACCTCATGGCCTGAGGACCAGGGAGGGTGGGAGTTGGGGTTACGTAGACGACCAGGGCCCCAGAGCGCCAGGTAAGGGGCCCAGACGGGGTTCAAACCCACGTCCCCTGACGCATCCGAGGCCCCCTGGCAAACGCCCCAGGCGTGTTCCTAAGCTACTGCAGGGGGAGGGCCTTCTGGGGTGTTTGGTTACTCCGTGTTAGGGTCCTAGGCCGGTCCCCACCCTGTAAGGCACCGGAATCACCCAGCTTTCTCACCGTTTCCGAGAGAACGTGCAGCGACAGTGGGCAACTCTCCCCCCTACAGATGTCCCTCTAGCAGCTCTCCCGGTTCTTCTAAACGCCCGGGAGCCCCGAAGCCACCCGCCGAGGAAAATCACACCCTACAGCTCCACACCGGGCTGGGCCTGGCCCTGTAGCCGCCGGCCCGAAAGCCAGGAGAAACTGGACAAAAACCTTTTGTGCCTCGGAGAAGGAGGAAGTGAGGGAGACGCTGGAAATCAATACCAGTCAGACCCCGCATAGCCACTGAGGACGGGGGCCAGTCAGACTCCCTCTTTAAGCTCCTTGTGAGAACGTGCTGAGGGGCGGCAGCCTGGGCAGACGTGATGTATGGCCTCTGGTATTTTAGCAGCTCTGCTGTGAAGGTCCGCTCTCTGCAATAGCTGTATTGGTGGGTAGCTTTTATTATTATTATTATTATTATTATTACACTAGGCAAGAAGTCACCATTTTGAAACCTGTCACGTTTTGCCCTAACTGGATTGGCTCAGTGGATAGAGCGTCAGCCTGCGGACTCAAGGGTCCCAGGTTCGATTCCGGTCAATGGCATGTACCTGGGTTGTGGGCACATCCCCAGTAGGAGGTGTGCAGGAGGTGGCTGATCAATGTTTCTCTCTCATCTATGTTTCTAACTCTGTCTTCCCTTCCTCTCTGTAAAACTTAAATAAATAAATAAATAAATAAAATAAAATAAAAATATATTTAAAAAATAAAACCTGTTGCCCTAACCGGTTTGGCTCAGTGGATAGAGCATCGGTCTGCGGACTGAAGGATCCCGGGTTCAATTCGGGTTGTACCTTGGTTGCAGGCACATCCCCAGTGGGGAGTGTGCAGGAGGCAGCTGATCGATGTTTCTCTCTCATCAATGTTTCTAACCCTCTATCCCTCTCCCTTCCTCTCTGTAAAAAATCAATAAAATATATTTAAAAAATAATTAAAAACTAAAACCTGTAACTTTGCTTCTTGTATCCTCCCTATATGTGTAGTTCTCTTCCTCCCTGCCTCTCCCCTACCCCCCCCCCCCCCCAGTGTCTGGGGTGGTTTCCTCTGTCTGCAACATGCCACCAGGCAAGCCCGTGCACATTAGTTACGTGAGCACATCCTGTCCGCTGCGGGCAGACTCCGGCCTGCCTCGCGGGTTTGCGGCCGCAGGTGCTGCTGCTGCTCAGACTCTGCAGCCCGCCCCAGCTCCTGTCCCAGTCCTGTTTAACCAGGACTCCTATCTGTCAGGCCACGAGGCCTTCAGAAGGGACGGCACCCTTTTTCTCAGCACCGGTCAGACGGGTCCAGACCTCCACAAGGACAAAGTCAGCCTTGGCGTCTTCTCCTCTTCTGTCTTTATGTGCAATCCTGTTCTCCTTCTTCTTCTGTTTGATAGGACGTCCCAGGAGCTAAAGGGCCGAGATAAGATTGCGAAGCTGCACCGTGTGTTACGAGGGGAAGGGAGCAGCCATGACCAGGCCTTTGCACTGGAGGTGAGACCACAGCCGGGTGGACACCAACGCAGTGTGTCCTCCCGCCATCCCGGAGCAGCTTGGGAGGCACCACCCGGTGCAGAAGCCGGAATAAAGCAAAGCAAAACCCATAAGGTGTCTCTGACGATGACATACTGTGACTGGCCCGCCGTGTACTCAGGCTCAGCGTCCACCTCCGAACCAGGAGGCCACGGTGTGACTCCCCGTCAGGGTACCGGCCGGGGTTGTGGGCTCCATCCCCAGTAGGAGGCGGGCAGGAGGCAGTGATTCTCATCATGGACATTTCTATCCCTCTCTCCCTCTCCCTTCCTCTCTGAAATCCATACAAATGTATTCTAAAATCCTATATAACAAAGATGTAATGTGCAAGTTGGTCGTTATGTCATGAAGTGTAACAACCAACTGTGTAACGATCAGACCAGCAGGAGGGTGGGGCAGCGAGCTACAGGCGGGCGGTGGAGAGCTTCAGGAGGGGGCAGGCAAGGCAGCAAGCTACTGGCGCCGGATTTGTGCACAGGGCTACGTGTGTGTGTGTGTGTGTGTGTACATATATATGTAATGCGAATAAGTAGTTTCCAAGAAATAATAATGAACTAAAGTTGAATGTGGATCAAGAAAACATTACACAGAAAGACACATTTTTGATGCATAGAGAGACTATTCTGATAACACCTACGCCCTGATCCAGAATATTGCAGTCTTGCCGCCTCCGTCACCTAAAGCTTAAAAATTAACTCCGCAGCGGTGGGCTCGACCTGAAATGCACCGGCGTGAGGCTATTTATAGTCTTGTTTGCCCCACTTCTCATGAATATTTATGTTTTGCTACAAAATATAAATGTGCTTGACGATGGAGTCTTGCCCCAGACCCCGTGGTGCAGGGGGTGGGGGGGGTGGGGATGGTGGTGGGGATGGTGCCAGGTTACCTGGTATTGTTGCTGAATGACCTGTTTAAAATTCTGAAACATTCTGAATGCCACACAATCTGGCTCCAGGGCTTTTGGGTACGAGGCTGTGGACTTGTACTATTTTTTAAGGAAAAAAAAAAAGGAATTGAGGGAGAAGCATGGTGTTTCAGACCGGTCACCTCCGGGAGAGGGGAAAAAATCTCCTCTCAGGAATGAACTCCCAGCGGCCCCGGAGACTGGCCAGCGGCCCCCAGAGACTGGCCAGCGGCCCCGGAGACTGGCCAGCGGCCCCCAGAGACTGGCCAGCGCCCCCGGAGACTGGCCAGCGGCCCCAGAGACTGGCCAGCACCGTTTCCCAGAGGCGCTCTCTGCCTCCCTCGCTCCTCATGAACCCGCGCTTCTCCGTCCAGATCGAGGTGTGAGAATCCGTCCTTCCCTCTGACCTGTGCCGGGGGCTCGCTGGCTGCCTCCCCCGGCCCAGCCCAGCCGCTGGCTGCTTGGTGGTCAGTGATCACCCTCGGAATGTACCTCTGTGCCTGGGAAGAACCAGGGGAACCGAAAATGAAACAGAAAAACAAG